TAAATATATTTTATAATTGGATTAACATTTAAATAATAAGTTGAAGTTCATATTTAAATAATTGTGTTTACTTTGGAACATAAATCATTTTATTTACAAATTATATTTCTTAAGAACTAATAAGACAACATAATTTAGAGCATAACTTCTATTTTGATAATTATATATATTTAGTAATCGGTTACCGACATTTATATTTATAAAAATAAAAACTCACCTTGTGAAACGCATTTTGAATAAATTTGTTGATTTGATTATTTTATACTTTTAAGCACTATTTTTTGTGGCGTCTTAGACTAGTTTTTAGTTGAACAAAATAAATTAAACACTTGATCACTTGCGCTTGAATTGTAAAATATTTAAAAAATCTTCCGACAGCGCGCTTTTTATAATGCTCTCTTTGGCATTTTCTAGCACATTCTATGTCAGTGATACCGCGAGCGGAAAAGTATCGATACTCTCAAAAACATGCAAACAAGTGGCAACGCTAGCAAAACACAAGAAAACAAAATAGTTGAAAACTTGAGAAAAAGAGTACAAGATTTCTAAGATTTAGCTAAAAGCGAAATTCAACAAAAAATGCAGTAAGTCTGTTTTTAAATGCAGTCAATAGAATTGGCTGAGCGTCTTTTTGTACGCTTGCAGGTCTTACGGCGGCCCCGATCAAAGTCATTTGCACAAATCGGACCAGCCAGCGGTCTTTCCGCATCCAGCCACACATCCGTGGCTGCTCGATGGAATGCCTTGGATGCTGGCAACAACGAATGCACCTCAGCCAGGCGGAATCATGCAATTTGGCTCAAACGCAAACTATAATATCGAGACTGACCCACAATGTGGCAAGTGGCACCACAAGCGGAAATCTCTGGAGCAACTGGCCTCCGGGCTGTAAGTATATAAAGTATAAATAAAACTATATATGTATATATATCCTGTATATATTAAAAATTTTTTCAACAGCCCCGCCAAACAACTGATAACCGAGGAACGAATAACGGCGCACTTTAGTGGGCTGCAAATCTCTGGAGATGCGAATGGTGTGGGCTCCGTACGCACAGTGGGAAACAATAACAGTGTACCAAGTGTGAACGGAGGATTGGCCACCGATGACATACCCTCGACCAGTACGGGCAAAACACATCATCCGAATCCGGCCTATCAGATGGCAGCCATGGAACTTGAGCAGAAACTACGCAATGCCAATCGGATTGTGATCTGTGATGAACTGAAACAGGGCGTTCCTCCAATTGCAGCACCATGTGCCATACCACCTGAATGGGTACTTAAATCGATTCCAAGGCCCTGTACAGCATTGGTGCCATGGCAACCATCGCCCTTGCAACTGACGCAGTCGCAGCCGCAGTCGCTGCCCAAGGAGCAGGTGCGAGTGCGTATGTCGAATTCTGGACAAGTGGATCCAGGGTCAGGAGACGTGCACCTCGATGACTATGACGATGAGCTGGAGTTCTTTGATAATAACAATACATGCAATGTGAATTTAAATAAGTCTGATGAGCAAATGGATGAGGACCTGTAGCTTTAATAAGTTATAGTCCTAGGTGGATATGTTTATAGTGTGCATAAGCAAAATTAGTTTTATCAGCATTTCTGTTTATAATTTGATTAATTTTACGGTAACAATATTCATATGTATCCATACGTAAGCGTCTTTTTCCTTTAATTCACATTAAATGTATGTTAAATGTATTTTGTGTTTTTCGTGGTAGTATCTGGTAACTCTGGCTGGGTAATAACAGCTGTTAACTACCGCAATCGCACTTTACATAGATTGGAGTCTGGGAAATAGCTATGAATACATTCCAAATTTAATCAAGAAAAGTAGTACTAGAAATGATTGCATACAATGCTGTTTCGGCTTACATGGGATTTAAGAAGGCAGGCTTTAAGAATTAACTTTTCTGTTATAAAAATCAGTAATCTTAAGATGAGATCGTAATGCTAAGGCGTTTTCGAATCTTTGAGTTTTGTGCACATTCTGTTAAGACAACATAACATTAATAAAGTCGAAGCCATTTTTACAGTTCTCTGCTCACGGTCACACTATTCAGTCGCAGTTAAGTTTTCATCAAGTACGGGTGTGTTTTGCGGACGTGTTGCGACGACGTATTAAAAACTTCGATAAGTGCTAAAAATGGGTAAAAAAAAACTACAATATCTCTTGTTTCAACGTATTTTGCCAAGTGTGCAAACTGTTTTGCGAGCTGCAGATGCAAGACATTTGCAAAAATTGAGTGGCGCTGTTTACAGATTTAATTAATTATGAGCCACATATGTACACACATGCATGCATGGATGTGAATCGTTCATGTGTGTATGTGTGTGTGTGTATTTACGGGCATGTACATATGTATTTGTAGAAGTGCTTGTGTGATGTGAACAGTGCGAGGCATGTGTATGTATGTACGGCCGGGTCGCTGTATATACATACATATGTATATAAATATATACTGTATATAGCAGATAAACACATATAAAAATACGAATATGTATATACATATACATACGTATTAATTATAATTAAAATGAGTGTAATTTGGAGACGCAAAAAACAAAAACAAAAAGGCCTAACCAGAACGATGTCGGCTTGTCGGCTTCGTCGTTCGCTAGTTTCTGAGTCGCGTGGTGACGCTTACATATCTCAAAAAAGTCACCACTAACAATAATAAGATATACTTAGAAAGAAAATCGGCTAAAACCAGCTAGCAGAGAGTAAACGCGTAGCAAACGGTATATCAATGCTCAAGTGCAAAATTAGAATATTAAATACAAGTTCATGGGAAAAGCAATGCGAAATGACAAATACCTAGAGTGTGTATGTGTTTCGTGTCTGGAGGGGCAATGTGATAAGTGAGCTTTTATATTGATGCCGCTGTCGCTGTCGTTTGTCGTATGACAAAATACGCAAAATTGATGCAACACATATTTACATATTTTAGTAAGCGACACGCAGGCAGGTACCGAGCCTACTGCTGTGTTACGACTGAATACACCACAGGCTTTTTTCTTTTCGCTGACCTGTGAAATAATAATGGAACTAGAAGCAGCAGCAGCGGCAACGAAGCAGTGGCGCACATGTGGGTGCCAGCCGAATCCCCCAACGAAATTAAAGCCGAGCCCCTGACGTAGTACAGAAGTAGGCAGGCAAACACAGGCTAGCTAGTTGGCTGGCAGTTGAGAAGCGTGGTGAATTTTACAGAAAACATAACAAAAGCCCACCATGTTGAGTTCCACTCGGCTTGCCTTGGCAGCACTCTGCTCTTTAGCTCTTGTTTTAGTCGTCTTCGTCGTGTGTGGGAGTGTAGAAGCAAACGCGTGCTACGTATATCGCATAGGAGCACCCGTAACATTGCGTGCGTGTGAATATGTTCATTTTTTCGCTGCCAGCTCAATTTGTATGAAGTAATAAAGGCTGTCTGCAATTAGTATTTCGTTGCGCGTAGTGTTAGCGAAAGGAAAAAAAAAAAAAAAAAAAAACAATAACAAACAAGTGGAGCGACTGTAATTTTCATGCATCTTTAAGTTTGTTTCTATCTTTCTATCTTCTTCCCTAATTACAGCAAATAATTAAAAGTGAAAAGTGGTAAAGTGCAAAAAGCGGAAGAACAACAACAAATAAGCCGTAAGCAGCGCTGATTATAGCGCCCATAAACGAAGAGAACGAGGCGTGCCAAGTTTTCAAAGTACAAGTGCAAATTAAACCAACAGATTTTGTGGCGATGTCCACCGCCGAAACGGGGTCGTCGCCTGGCAAAAGCAACAGCAACAATAACAACGGCGTCGCTGCAGGCGGCAATGCGAAAGGTGTGCAGCGCCGACAATTGGTGAGTAATTGAACTAACATTGCCAACAACAATTATCAGAAAAAGAAGAGCCTAACGTACGATTTATACTGATAAGCCCAAAGAAAATCATTAGGGCGGCGCGAGATTGCGTATGCCGTTAACTGTCGAGTGCTGTCGTTGTCATTGTAAACTATCATTAGCAATCTATATAAATAAATGCACGCTCATTCACTACTCACTC